TTTTAGAGCTACATACCACAAATATTACAAGTAAATGAAATAATATAATGCCTGGAATTTGCTTCTAAATTATATGGTAAGGGGCTAGGGATGAGAAGAAGTAAGGTATATACATGAAATACTATTGGCCACAATTTCATAATTGCTGAAGTTGAGTAATGGGTACATGGGTTTATCATATAATCCTTCCACTTTTTAGTATACTTGAAGCTTTCCATAATAAAAAGTTAAAAAAAAAAATCCTTCAAGGTGGCAGGAGAGAAAACAGAAGTTTTATAAAAGCAACTTCATAACTAAGATTTCATGTGGTTTATTTTGGTCAAGCAAGCTCTGGTCATACAAATTAATTCCAACCAGATTTCCCACTGGTTTTCAACAATCAGGTAAGAATAATCCATGTAAGTTGGCCACTTTCTTGTGGTTGAGTAAATGTCAAAAGGAAATGGAGCAAAGTGTGTAAGTCAAAAAATTAAAAGAAGAAAAATAAAGTCCTCAAGTAAGAATCCTAACCTTTCCTTGGACCTTGTATGAAATAAAGCCACCATTCTCATCTCATCTCAAACTGACAAATTTCCTGCTAATTTGGCAGTATATCTTATCCAAGTGCAAATCAATGAACTGGCTGGCTTTTTCCTGCTCAGGTCACTGTTTGAAGAATGTAACTGTTTTTGCCTTTCCTTCAGTAAAAAGGACGTAACTGAAGATCTCATACCTCTCCTGCCCTGCTGTATCCCATAACTGCAGATGGATTCTCTGGCCTCTGCCAATGGCTCCATCCGGCCCATTGGCTCTGTACACCTAAAACAGCAAAGTGAAAGAGAAAACAAAAGAGGACTTCTGACACCAGTGAACCATTCTCACCTTTTCATTCAGTACAAACCCTAAGGCATCTACATTTCTAAAGAGAATCCCATCTGGAATACAACCATGTTCGGATTTTCGGTCAAATAATTATACCCAGGTAATGTAATAAGTTATATTGAAATATATACATATATTTTTAAAATATATTATAAAATACGTATGCAAAATAACTTGTATAAAATATAGTAATTAGCCTGCCTTTCCTCAATGTTCTCTTGAGTCACCAGTTTCAGGAAATATTACATTTCTATGACTTTTCCCAATCTCATCTTTTTTGTTTGCTTGTTTAACCAGGGGGTACATGCACAAGTTTGTTACATAGACATACTGTGTAATGCTAGGGTTTGGACATCTATTGAACCCATCACCTAAACAGTGAATGCAGTATTCCGTAAGTCGTTTTTCAGCCCCTGTTCCGCTCCCATCCCCCTTTTGGAGACCCTGGTGTCTACTGTTTCTGTCTTTATGCCCATGTGTACCTATAGTTTAGCTCCCACTTGTAAGTGAGAATGCCTATGACATCTGATTTTCTGTTTCTACACTAATTCACTTAGGATAATTGCCCCCGGCCCAATCCATGCTGCTGCAAAACACATAATTTCACTTTTTAATGGCTGCATAGCATTCTATGGTGTATATGTAACCCATTTTCTTTATCCAATCCACCACTGATGAGCACTTAGGTTAGTTCCATGACTTTCCTATAGTGACTAGTGCTGCAATAAACATTTGAGTGCAGGTGTACTTTTGGTAAAACAATTTTTCTTTGTCCCATCGTACATTTTAAAAGTGCTCTTAAAATGATTTTATAGAAAACACCTAGAACAGCAGAGAAAGTACCATTAAAAATTTCTTCCTTATTGATAGCAACGAAAACACTGGTGAAAATTGTCCAAATCAACTTTTTCAGTACTCTAGAAACTAACAAAGACTTGCAACATGACAAGGAGCATTTATTCAAGAAAAACTGGTGAATATCAGTAAAACCAGTAAGCTTTGAGGTATTTTTTTACCTTGCCTTATTCCCACCCCCCTCACTCCAGCTTTTAGTAGCCTTAAAAACCAGCAAATGCACAAATGGGGTAGTTGTGAAAACACCAGCCTAGCCACCACTGTGGAAGAGCGGGGGCACAACAGGTTTGGAGCTCCCTAAAAGTCCCATACTGAGACAAACTGTCAGGAAGCCCCTTGAAAAGCTCCATGCCCCAGCTTTGTCTTTACTTGACCTCACTCCAAGCTTGCTCTTTGAAAACAGCCCTATCCCTAGGGCATTTGTTGAAAACTATCAGCAGTGATTACTTAACATCACGGCTACCAGAGGCAGCAATACCAGTTAGGGCTAACAAAAGTCTAACAAAAAGAATTAAAGAAAAAAATAGGAACAGAAACGTCTACAACGTTCCCAAATATTCCCTGGAACGTACAAGGCCATGTTCATGTGCACGGCTCTATAAATGTCCAGGAAAGACCTAAAAAGGTCCTAATCTCTTACTTCTGACTGACTTTGAGGTTCTTCTCAGGCAGAAAATGAAAGCTAAGGCAGAGTTGTAAACTGCCTGCAGTAGTATTAAACACACACCCCAACAAATACACAGAGATTCTCAGAAAAACCTAAGAGACTTACTGCTTCAAGGAATTTAATAAACTCTGTCCACTCATTAGCTGTCCACTAAGTTGACTGACAGCTACATACAAAGAATACAGACTTCGCAAAATTATCCCAGAAATATTATTAAACAAACAAATAGCAACAAAAAAAAATAAATAAATGCAGTACAAACAAGAAACCCAGGTAGGGGAAAGAATTAACAACAAAAAATAAATAAATGCAGTAAAAACAAGAAACCCAGGTAGGGGAAAGTATGGTTCATATGCAATAAAAAAGCAACTAACAGAAATTATTCCTGAGGAAGCCCAGATGTTAAACTTATTAGACAAAGACTTTATATCAGGTATTATAGTTAAAGAACTTAGAAATCATTAACATAGCTATCTTCTAAAATTAAAGAATAAATTAAGAAAAAACTGAGAAAAGTCATCTCTAGCAGACCTACCCTATAAGAAATACTACAGATAACTCTCAAGACTGAGCTGAAAAGACACTAGACAGTAACTTAAATGCACACAAAGAAATAAGGAGCACCAGGACTGCATAGTAAATATAAAAGACAGTATAAATATCTTTTTCTTTGTAACCCTTTTCCTCCATCAGATTAAAATTTAACTGCAGGCAGGATGTGGTGGCTGACGCCTGTAATCCCAGCACTTTGGGAGGTTGAGGTGGGTTGATTACTTGAGGCCAGGAGTTCAAGACCAGCCTGGCCAACATGGCAAAACCCTATCACTACTAAAAATACAAAAAATTAGCGGGGCATGATGGCAGGTTCCTGTAATTCCAGCTATTTGGGAGACTGATGCAAGAGAATCATTTGAACCCAGGAGGCAGAGGTTGCGGTGAGCCAAGATCTCACCCCTGCACTCCAGCCTGGGCAACAGGGAGAGACCCTGTCTCGAAAAAAAGAAAAAAAATTTAACTGCATACAGAAATAACTGTACAGCTGTGTTGATGATAGACGCACAATGTAGAAAGACATCATTTGTATAGCAACAGCAACACAAAAAGAGGGGAGAAAACAGAGCCATATAAGAGCAAAGTTTTACACAGTATTAAAATTAGGGTGCTATTAATCAAAGTGAGATTGTTAAAAATTAAGATGATAATTGTAATCTCCAAGGGAACTATTAAAAAAGAACTCAAAATTACATAGTTAAAAAAATTAAATGGGAATTAAAATGTAGAAAATTGAAAAAAAAAAAAAACAAAACACAATGTCTATCAACAGATGAATGGATAAACCAAATGGCATATCAATACAATCGAATATTATGTACCCATAATAAGTAATGAAGTCCTGATACATGCTACAACATGGAAGATCCTTGCAAACATAATGCTAAGTATAAGAAGCCAGTCACAAAAGGCCATATATTATTCCATTTGTATGTGTGCAGAAGCCATTGATAAAAAAGTTCACAATGGCTAAGGGGAGGCAGAAAGAGGAATGACTGCTAATAGGTTAGGGGTTTCTTTTTAAAGTGATGAAACTATTCTAAAATTTAATAGCTGTCATGGCTACACAACTCCAAATAGACTAAAAATCACTGGATGTTATACTTTAGATGGATGGATTTCCTTTTTTGTGAATTATATCTCAATAAACCTATTTTTTTAAGTTATAAAATAACCAACAATAATAAGCACATACATATACATATTCTATCAATTATACATCAATACTAAAAATTTCTTTAGGATTCTATTGTTATTCAGTGGATCTTAATCTTTTAGAATGGGCAAAGGGGAATTTTCTGTCCTAGAAGCCGGGGACCTTTCCCTCTGACAGCATATGATCCATTAAAGGACCTCTGTCATTAATTTCCTGACCACTTGTTTATCTGCTTCATGGTAACAGTGAATTTTTCAGCAATAAATGTAGTCTAAGGAGAAGGCCATCTTTCCTCATCTCCAACTGTGACACAATGACCTGCCTTCCCCTCCAACACTAGAATAACTTTCGGTCTTAAAGTCCTTAAAAAAAGAAGTAAAAGCTTCTCCCTTCAACATTCCGCAGAATATCACATCCACTACTGGCATTCCCCACTCCTACTCCAACCTCACCGTCCTGGCAGCAGTGATGGGTTCTTCCAGTTCATGTTCCATGTGGAATTGCTGAGATGTTATTAGGAGAAATGCCATTAAAAATAATAAGATACCACAGGTGCAAGATACAGCCCAGCATGAGGAGCAAGGTGGTTGCAGGCTTCGAGACAAAAGTATACAAATAACTTTTGGAGTTCAGAAGGGAAGATACAAGCCAAAAGAGTAGCAAGGTGACATTTTAAAGAACTGTCCACTTTCACTTTGTCTGCCTGGTTTCATAGAAGTGTCATCAGCACAGCCTTTTCAATTGTGTTGCCTGGACTGAACATACTCACTTTCACATGTACCCTTTAAATTCAGATCGCAACCTTTGTCCTCCTAATTCCTACAAAGTAAACTGAACAGACCGGCGAATGTTGACTCAAAGATTACATTTTTACATAGAAGGATATAGAACTTACCACTCTCTTTTCCCTGAAATCAATGCCCACTGTTGTGATAAATTTGGAGTTAAATTTGCCATCTGTGTATTGGTAAAGTACACTGGTCTTCCCTACGCCAGAGTCTCCCAAAGCTAAAAACTTGATGAGGTAATCATAATCTCCATCAGACATAATGAAGAACTCAGTGGTTCACCTGTAAAATACACACAAATTTTTAAAATTAAAATCCATTAAAAAACATAAATTATCCGTTAATAAAGTAACAACCATACTCAGTTTAACACCTCATGTTAACCTATATGTCTATGGGTCATATGAAAAGAGAATTACCTACCTATTGTTCATCATCCTTGAAGACCTAATGACTAGCTAGATGAGAAGCTACTGCAATAGGAATTAACAGTGTAGTTTTAATTTAACATACATATTACAGTACCATTAGGACAAAAATTCCAAGTGAGAATGATAATCAACAAGAAGGTAACACTCACTAAGTCTTATCTGCAGACCATATAGAGCAAAAACTAATAAAAGAAAAATAGGCTGGGCGCGGTGGCTCATGCCTGTAATCCCAGCACTATGGGAGGCCAAGGCGGGCGGATCACGAGGTCAAGAGATCGAGACCATTCTCGCCATGATGAAACCCCGTCTCTACTAAAAATACAAAAATTAGCCGGGTGTGGTGGCACGCGCCTGTAGTCCCAGCTACTCGGGAGGCTGAGGCGGAAGAATCGCTTGAACCCAGGAGGCGGAGGTTGCAGTGAGCCGAGATTGCACCACTGCACTCCAGCCTGGCGACAGAGCAAGACTGCGTCTCAAAAAAAAAAAAAAAAAAAGAAAGAAAGAAAAATAAAGGAAGGAGAACATTATGAGGAACCATAGGTAGTTGTTCAAGGGGTTCCAATTTCCCCTTATTTTTCAAAGTCTCCTAGTGCTAAAATTCACAATTGCAAAATAAGGAACCAGTCCAAATGCCCACCAATCAACGAGTAGATAAAGAAATTGTAGTATATATGTGTGTGAGTGTGTGTGTGTGTGTGTGTGTGTGTGTGTATACACACACACACCATGAAATACTACTCAGACACAAAAAGGAATGAAGTAACAGCATTTGCAGCAACCTGGATGGAACTGAAGACCATTATTCTAAGTGAAGTAACTCAGGAATGGAAAACCAAACATCATACATTCTCACTTACAAGTGGCACTGAAACTACCAGGATGCAAAGGCATAGGAATGATACGATGGACTTTAGGGACTGAGAGTGTGGAAGGGTGAGGGATACAAGACTACAGATTGAATACAGTGTATACTGCTTGGGTGATGGCTGCACCAATATCTCAGAAATCACCACTAAAGAACTTATTCATGTAACCAAACACCACCTGCTCCCCAAAAACCTATCGAAATTTTAAAAAA